AGAGAGAGAGAGAGAGAGAGAGAGAAGTGGAAGAAAAGAGAAGCGAGAGAAAAACTGTCTCCCTCCGCCTCCCTGGAACACGTTAGAGGCACTCCGTCGATCAAAATCGACGATGTGACCAAAGTGAATTGTAGCTATATCGGGTGTACTACTAGTTACGCGAGGTGATTTTTCCAGGAGAGACAGAATGCGAGGCCGGACGCGCCAGGTCTCGCTAATGGCAGTTGCGCGATGATTCCCTGTCACATTTTTATCTCGTACAAAAGCTTCATGTGGAGAGTCACATATGCGAAACGGAAACATTGTCACGTATAGTCGGCTTTGACCGAAATACTGAGCAGAATTGGGCATAGAATACATCGTATCACATTTATATATGTCGCATTATATATATCGTCTGCGCAAGTTTTTTCCCTCGATATTCTTCGATAGTCTTCAACAAAATTAAAAAAAAAAAACCTGTTTCTCGTTCTCTGGAGAAGCTTAATTAATGCGGCATACAATTAATATGAGACAAGAATAAGAATAGTTTCAATGGAAAAGACAGAACTAATCTTTAACATTAAAAATGATAATATGCCATTTCTCTGAACATGTCGAATAAAAATGCGAATACGATTGAAAAGTCAGATATAATGGTCATGCGGGTACTGTCGGATTATCATGTAAAAAATCAAGCAGTTCCACAATGTATTTGTCAAAACATTGGTCTCGTTTACCCATTTTTGCTCCGTTCAACATGGAGGAAGAAAATGCCACGAAAGTGCCAGTGCTCTCAAAACTTTTCGGAAGATTGCACGTAACTCCGCGAAGTATAATAAATATGTTTTGCATATATTTACAAGCGTATCCGTAGAGTTACGACTGTAACTGCTGTGATTGTTATAGAGCCAGAAAGGCGTTTGAAAAAATGATGAATTCTCGATTTTCGCATCCTTATTGCAATATTAAATTATATTTATTTATTTTTAGTTGCTTTTTGTAAAATCTGCTGCGTTTATCTTACTTGTCTCGTAACGAAAGAAATATTGCATTACTTTAGGGAAAAGTTCGCCACAAAAGATACCGTAAGAAACGATGTTAACAAGTCGAACAACATGCAAAAAATCACATTACCTTGCGTCCATCGAGCAAACTTGTAACGTTGAATTTCCCGCGAGATTTTTATGTCAACAATTCTGTCTTGCATAAAGCTGCTTCCTACAGATTTCTTTTGTCCAATAGTTCTGTTGAAATATTTCTAAGATACGATTATTACATACTCTATGCTTAAAATACGATGAAACATATAAATAATAAAAAATATAATCTCTTTAATAAAGCTTAATTGGGAAATATATCAAAATTCAAAACTTAGAAACAAATTTTTTTTTGACGGAAAATCGAGAGTTTATCATACACCTGAAAACAGAATCGGGTATTTCCTGTTTCGTAGCTTTGTTGAGAGTCCTATCCCCCCCCCCTTCCCCCCGTGACAAATTTCAATCAATCGAAGCCGTCACATCGACGCTCCTCTCTAATAGAGTGTTGTCATGGCGCAAGCCTCCGGGATGTATCGTATCAACCAGAAGAGACTCACACACTTTCTCGCATGACACAAACGAATTCGGAAAGCCAAACCTAGTGATGCGCGTCAGCGAAGAAATCATGCTGTCGACGAGAGGAACGCTACAACGGGGTGTTAACGGGATCATCGGACTCAATGTCCATCATCTAACATGCATCCCTCGCGCTTTTAACGCAGAACGACAGAGGACGGACGACAATCCAATATTAAGAATTTCCCGGATCTCTCCTCAATATAATAGCACTGGGAGATGAGGAATGAGAGAGAGTTTTTCCTTCGTCCTCCCTGCCTTCCACCTTCGCGCGACACCTTCCCTTCGCACGTACACGCATCACAAGTACATTAAAGTCACACGGATCACAAGAACGCATCAGGCACACGTCGTCGACGGCCGCTATCGCGGGTCCCCCGGTGACTCGACTCGAGTCACAGGATCGGATCGCGAGCTTTCGCAGGACCGAACGCGACCCGTTATCATCATGAACATCCGCGTGCTTCCGGCAAGCGATTTATCACCGCCGAAACGCGCTGCGTCGTCACGTCGCTGGTCCACGACGTCGTCGTCGAAACGACGCTATTCGTCGCCGCGATCAGCAGCCGATCCGGTTCCGCGCCCGACTCGCTCCGACTGTCCGTCGAGGCTGGCCAGCTGGTGATCAGCTCCCGCCAGTCGGGCACGCCGGTCAGGTAGGCTAGAAGGAGTAGTATGAGGCACCCACCTAGGCACCTGCTGCCCCCAGGCTCGAGGGCAGCGCAGCCGCTCGTCTGGTTCTCCGTCGTAGGCTTCTGCACCTCCGGATGGGAGACCCGCTCCACCTGCTGGCTGCCTGTCCACGGATCGCCCTCAGTGTCCACGGCATTGTGCCGGACATTGTCCGGGGCTGCATTGTTCTGGATCACGTCCTGATGAACCACCGGCGGCAACGGCTTGTCCCTGTCCAGCTCGTCGTCCACCTCCACCGACGTCTCTGTGCCGAAGAACACCATCTTCCACTCCTCTAGTGTATCTGAAACAACATCGGCGGCTACATTGGCGAGATTAAAGGTAATAATTATTAATGAGTACATCACGTTCACAAGATTGTGCGTAAAGTGATTCGATTACACATAGCTCAAATCAGAAACAAAAGGAAAAACATATGTGTATTTACAAGAAAAAAAAAAAAAAACTGAAGCAAATTATTAATTATTAATTTATTGTCGTAATTATTAATTTATTGCTTCCTCTACAACACATTCTTCTTTCTGTATAATAATATATGAACATTGTCTTTTGTTTGTAGTATTCTTAAAGCAATCATAGTGTTCAATAAAAAACATAAGTGTATATACATATATGCAGCTAAAAAGACGATAAGATGTAAAAAATGCAAGCCTTAAAGATACTAAACTGAAAGTCTTATCTTTGACTGAGAATAACATTTATCATGTAGCAATCATGAAATAATAACTACCTACTGTTATTTTTACGTTAAGTACACACATGCAGACACGATTGCAATCAACCGTAATGGATTTCATATGATACGTACTGCGGTTCCAGAGAATGGAAATGCAAGCTTTACGCATTTAAATCTCGCAGCCATTTCCATAGACGAGATTCTGAAGAATGGGGTTTAAACGTATTATTTCCGACAATATAAAAAAATATTGCAAAGATCACACGCGTGATTTTTCAATCAGATTTTTCAGCGGGCACAAATTTCATGGAACGTTCATTCATAAATAATCACGGAACGTACATAATTATTATTCCATCCGGTAGATGATTTTCATTTCACATCAGTTCTTTATTCATATATCTGTATATCTGCCGAAAGATGCGCTTTTCACTTTCTCGCGAATTATTTCGCGACCTTGTCTGCGAATATAACGTAAGGTATTTTCAGTCTCGCACAAGTGAAGGTGCGGTAAAAATGACGGTTTCATTAGATAGACAAAACGCTAGCGAGACAGCGGAAGAGATGGCGAGAACGACGACGGCGCCGTCGGGAAATTAATAAAGCGTTATGATGCCGTAGGGAAAATTTTGTCCTAAGTTTGCTCGTGGGAACAAAGAGAGAAAAGAGAAGTTGCGAGTCTTGATTAAATAAGAGTTAAAAATAACCGAGTAATCAAGGATGACTCTCCGTGCATATTTATACAACGAAATGTATATGTCGAAATTAAAATGCAAAGAGCTTTGCAACGAGAAGACGGTAAGAACCCGTAGACGATTATCGTTTTTACGTCGGCTAAGATACACCTGTACGTTTGCATCGCTCGCTGCGGGCAAGACAAAACTAAATGAAAGCTAATTTTAAATCTCTTGTCTTCTCGACTAGTCATTAAAAGTTGACATAAAATTACTCAGTCAGTTGGTTTATAATACGTAATTGTGATATGCAGCAATTTGCATATCAATCAAAAAATAAATTCGAGGAATGTATTATAAAAATAGAAATGTTGTTTTCCAGATAATAAAAATTCATCATTCTGTCAAAATATCCATTATTTATCATTTTATTCAAAAGCTAAATAAAATGTAAATCTTTTGAGTAGATTAACTTTTGTATAAACTGTGTTAATATTATTATCTTATTTATCTTATTAACAGTATAGCAAAAAAAAACTAAAGCGTATATATGGCTTCAAATAAAATCACTTCATGGGAGAAATTGAATTTCGCAAGTAGAGACGAGCGACGATTGCGTATGAGCGAGCAGGAATCAAAGCGGCGAAAAAACGAATTCAATTTGTCGTTGACTCGTGACGAGACTACTCTCGTGTGTGCTATTTTTTTGTCGCCCTCCGGACATAAACTACCGGCTATAATAAAGTCGTCGTTAAAGTACCCCTGTTACACGAGACACAAGACAGTTGTAAAGTGTCAAGTGTCGCGATGATTGGAAGGTTGTCGTTTTACAGGAAATATCGAGAAAAAATAACTTGTGATCGAGTTGAGAGAACTGAACTAAGACTGAGGAAAAACGGTGCAGGGGAATAAAAATGTCAAAAGTCGAAACAGCGTGACCGGCTACGTAAGGACATTGTATTCAAAGGGTCGTTAGCGCGCGCGTATTAGAGGGAGATAATAATAATGTCTTAAGAGCGGAAACTATCAGATTAAGCGAGTGAAAAAAATTTCCAATCACGACGGAAATTATTTAGCAATGATGATAAACGAGAAAGCTGCTCGATCGCCAATGATGAGCTTCGTCCAATCGCGTCGGCTTTTCCATTTCACGGCACGCATTAGCGGTTTTCACTACCATTCGTCGCATTGCACTGAATTTTGAACGATTTGCGGTTACACGATGATCTAAAATTCGAGAATTTTGAAAGGAGATAACGAGCGCGATGCTTAATGACGAACATCATTGTGAGAGCAATTTTCGCTAAATCGCTGCTGCTTTGCGGAAAAGACAATTTTCAAGTGAATTATTACTATCATGTGTAGATAAGTATTTCTTGAAATAAATTATAACAATATTAAGATAAGATAGATTATACGCTAAAATATAATATAATTTTTCTTAAATATTCTACTTTTTTTGATAACACGAAAACTAAATATGACACATGAGCACTAATAAATACAATAAAATTCTAAACTGTGTATCTAAAAATATCACAATTTTCCGCTTATATTTTGTGGAAGACAAACATGCGAAATGCACAATATTCTCCGAAAGGTAATAAGATCTATACTACAAAGGTAATAGATATACGGCAATATGTGCGAGTAATGCATTAGATATTAGATAATCGACGCACACGGATATGGATACGCTCCAAGCTGCATACGGAACTCATCGATAACCAAGTCATTGGAAGTTTTGATTGAAGACCATAGCGCGTGTTGCCGGCCTCGATAAGTTTTCCTATTATCGAACTATCGCTTTCGTAAGGAACTTTAATTATAGTAGGAAAAGGCAAAACAACAAAAAAAATGTTTAACACAAAAAGTAGTGTAAAACTATGCAAAATCTCTCTTTATACCCTGCTTACAAGAGAAGAGGCTTCCCGTTTAAATTCAAGTTTAACGAATGCCAATTCAATGACAAATAACTTACAATTAAAAAAAAAAAATAATGTATCAAATGATTAATAATTTTTATAGTAACTACACAGAAAATTGGCAATTTTTTATTGATAGGTAAACATTAAATACGTATTATCAAATACGATAAAACAAAATATAAATGCAGATTAGATAAATTTTAATGAAAGAATATTGAGATTTATTTTTTATTCGTGCACATCAAAATCATGCAAATGTACAATATACACATTTCCATTCGTAATAATTAAAAATAAAATGTCTCAAAGTGCAATGTGTTTTTCAAAATCATAAAACAGTACATCTTCAAATGTTGCTGATCAAGTATTAAATGAAATATTTAATAATTTCCACAATCTAAGTACAAACAATATTGTTTTAAATTATCTAATATGTAATTAGAAATTAAATAACAACGATAAAAAATTTCACTTACAATATTATCTATGATATATCTAAGGCGAGCTACAGAAAAAAAAAAATAGAACACACATACAAAATATTCCGCGTAAAGTAATCCGAGCGTTTCATCAAATTTCATTAGAGATTAAATGGAACATTGTAAAAAACATCGAGAATTCTTTTATTTTCAAATAGAGAAGAGTAAATTACAAGAAAGAGAAATAGAATTCTCGTCACGCTTTGTAAAACATGCAGAGGGGTCACTCCACGCGGAACATTCTGAACTCAAGATAGAAGAACGTGGATAACGCGAAATAAGCTTGTCTAAAGTGCAACATATTAATAACAATAGGTAATATGCTCGTGTACAGACGAAAATAACGGTGATCACACGGAACGATCGCAATCAGTGAAAGAGAACTTCAACAAAAGGCAGAATATGAAAACCAAATTTCAACGGATCCGTTTAATCTTCGGCTTTTGCACGATACTGCATCTCTATTTTTGCATCTGCACTTGGTAGCGCGGGCGGACACGTGGAAGCGAATGCGAAACGATCGGAAGCTGTGAAACGATTCTCTTTGTTGTCCTACAAAATATCGCCCTGGGTAACAATAGCGTATATAGATTGCCATCATTACTCACTGCGCGCGTTTGCGATTATCTGTGTACACGA